TAGAAGAACAACATTGGCCTCCGCCGGAATTCCACCCTCAACTTCCCCTCATGCAAGTAGACCTGAGAACAGTTGCGTGGGCGGCGGAAGAGTCTACCTAGAACCACGTGATCGATGGGATTTGGGATCTGGGTTTGATTAGCTCAAGGGATATCTTGGGCATTTCGTAAGTTACGGGTGAGTTTAGTCCGAAACTCAACTAACGTGCATAAATTACTCGATTTATGTCGAAACTCGACACCGTTTGAACCGAGAGTTTGCATTTTTAGTCCTCATGAATATTGCACTAGAATTTGACAAATTTCCCCAAGGGCATAATAATCATTTTGACTTTTGGGAAGAGCGGGGTGTAACATGTATTTGACTTCATATGGCTTCTTGGACATGCCTTGTCCATACTTAGCCAAAATTTCAAATCTACAATAACTTTTTATGGCTTTCTTACGTCGTGACTTGTTAGATATGCCCCCATGTCCACTATAAGTGGTTGGAGGCATGCCCCCCATTCCACACTTAGCCAAATTAGTATGCTTAGCACAAGCATGTGTTGTTTGTGATTGATGTCGGCTCTTAGACACCACATGACCCCCAGATGGTCATCTCGGCTTCCGCTTGTGGGAAATTAGACTTTCTTGCCCCCCTGCTGAGCTCTAGGTGTTCTAAGTCCATCAGAATTTCCTTCATCCCTACTCAATAGGGGTGGCATTGGGGGTGGGCAAGCATGTGGTGGTACTTGGTCCACGTTGAATGAATTTTCACAATCTCGTTCATTGACAGGTGTCTCATCTAATCTTGTCTCGAGAACGAGTGGTTGAACATCGCATTGTACATGAAATACCCCATCACTGGTGTTTAAAGTAGAGGTGGACCTCTCACCACAACTATCACGTCGAGGGGGTGGTTGAGTTGTCATTGGAGACATCAAGTTCCCTGGTCGTGGCTGGGTATTCTGGCCACCGAAGGGTGAAATATTTTTTAACACAACAATATTATTTGTTGTTAGGTCTAAACCATTTTGCGGAAAAAACATTGATTGCGACGTTGGTTTTATTAAAAGTTGCCCAAAATCTCTTAAATCATTTTTACTTAACTCCAAAATCTTATCCACACGCATATCCAAACTGAAATAAAAACAATCAAGTGGAGATATTATCTAATGAGTACCTGCCAAGGCCACTTGCATGCATCGGCGGTTCTCATCTATCACTTGAAGGTTTTCCTTCATCACTTGGCGGTTCTTCTCCAAGGTTTGACGGTTGGTTCAATCATCTTGAGATTTTAATCCAACATCTGGTGGAGTTGCATAATGTTGGTGGTGAAATCAACATTTTGTGCCGCCGGTGGCAAAGTCTCCATCATGCCATTGTTTCTGGCAAGACCTTCTGTGTCTTGGACAAATTCAAACTTAGTCACTTGCTTCATCACAAACCCTGGTGAGAGATCACCTTCTTGTTGGCTCTGTCTTGGAGCCATGAGATCAAACACAAGGCTCCCACTAGGTGTGCCAATTTGTTTTCCCACGAGAAAACTTGCGTTGAAATTGAGATTGATTGCACCTTGACTTCGTTGGAAAATGATTAACTTAACATGGTTCTACCTCTTCAAACAAAGTTCGAACGAGGGTGTTTGACGTTTACACAACTCACGAGACAGATCTATGTTAAGTTACTCCTACTTCTATGGAGGTTCAGTGAGAGCTCCAAATCTACGACTATGGCTAAATTTGTAGAGGAAAAGATAAAAGGATAAAAGTTGACATTGTGTTGTCTGGTTTGAATTTGGCCAACCCTTTCTCTGTCAACTCCACCTCCTATTTATAGCTTTGAGATGATAACCATCGTTGAAAAACTGCATAGAGAGTAACTTCAAAAAATAACTGTTTCCCTTCTTCTTCGGGCGTGGCTTACGTATCCTTGAAGGTGGAATCATTGACAGTTGCTCCGTTAACCACCTGCTCTCTCTTTTGGAACTGTTGTCTTGGTACTTACTTCCCTTTTACCATGACCATTCCATATCGAAAGACGAGGACCTTCTACATCTCATGACCGACATTGTGTCTAGATCTCGCGACCAACGAGGTCTACCAAACTTGACGCGATGATGTCCATTTGCGACGATTCCCTCCGCGACCATCGTGGTCTACTAGACTTGACGTCAACGTGGTCTAGCTCTCTGACTTTGTATATTTGTGGCTTTCCTCTCCCATGTAGCTTGCCTTCTTACTCCCAACTTGTTAGTCTAGATCTTGGACAAGGTTTAGATCTCACGATGTGGTTTAGATCTCGCGACCACCTTGGTCCAGTGGACTTGCGACGAACATGGCATAGTAGACTCGCGACGAGCCTGATCTAGTAGGCTTGCGAAGAGCATGGTCTAGATCTCACGATCACCTTGGTTTATCAAACTTGTGACGAGCATGATCTAGTAGACTCGCGACGAGCATGGTCTACCATACTTAGTCTCTATCCACACGACAAGATTAGTTCATTCGCGGAGACTTAGTGGTTTGGGTTTAAAAATCTAGTACCATAAGCCCAGCTTAAATAACATTAATTGTTATTATTGATATGGATTTATAAAGATAGTAAATGCCATGTAAATAATCAATGTGGTATAAGGTTATTTTTTGGGCGTAAACAATGTTTGTTCATTTTGCATACTTCAATTGGGGATTTGGGTCTCCAACGACCATTGACCATCATAGATGTTCAGCCATCGCCTCTGTTGCTTTTCTCTGTTTGTGCTGTCGGGCGCTTCCCTTTGACGGCTTTAGATCTTCCACCGTAAACGTCCATCATCTCTACCTAGCCGGAGGCTCTCTCCATTTGTTGGAGTCCCCTATTCTTATTTGATTTTCTACTTGATTGTTTGGTATAGTTTATTTTGCTGAAGCTTTTTGAGGATATTATCTCTTTCTTTTCAACTCTTGATGGCTCTATTTCGGTTGCATTGGGTCTCCTGCATGTGTTTCACTTTTGTATGAAGTTTTTTAAATTTTATATCATCAACTCTTCTCTGTGAGCATTTGGTTTTCTGTTATGTTTGGTTCTGTTTGTATTCGATCTGATGGGTGCAGGTTAAGCAGCTTGGATGTCCTGTATATTCCCCATGGTTTGCCATGGCCACTTCTCTGCACTCCAATAAACCTCCCTCGTCGCCTTCCACTTCTCTGCATGCATCTATGTATTTGTTCTTCATTATCGATCTTGATCAACTAGCTTTCTTTCTAGGGAGTCGTCCGCCAAATTCTCATCATGTCGCCTGATTATGAGCTCACGTGCAGCGCCATCAACTTCGTCAGGATGACACAAGCAAAATAGGCCCAGCAGATCAGGATGAGTTTGGGAGATCAACGAGAATGAATTACGAGATGGATAAGAATTGTGTGCAAGATGTGGCCGTGGTGACTTCATGATTTTCCTTTTCCGGCGGTTTTATTTCATATTAAGCCAAATCACTCTTAAGGATACATATGATTAATTACTCTATAAGATAAATGAATTGAATAAGTAAAATAATCTACAAATTTGGTTTTTGGAAACTGTATTCTTTTAAACTCACCCAATGATCCAATCATGTTGGATTACCTTTTCTGGTTAACCGAAGTAAAACTTTCGTAGATTGGTGTAGTTTGCACTAAAATATCATTGTTTTATGATAGTTCCAGAAATTAATAATAAGTTAAAAATTCAACATCACTTCTAGACATTCAATACGCAATATTCAAACCAATGATATTTGAGTTGCCATTTTAATAAGAAATCAACGTCGGGTCCCGGCTATTAGCCAACAACGTCATGTCGTGCTTAATTATCTATTGCAGAAGGCCACGACTTTTGTAGAGCAGAGGATTAAAAACCTTGAAACTACCTTTCTAGAATCGGTGGACTGAAATGATTCTTCTTCTTCTTCTTCTTCTTTCATATATGACTCGATTTTATTTATTTTCTCTATAGGATAAATTGAGTACAATAGGAGAACAATACTTTCTTATTATTTCTTTTTTTTTCCAATGAATATTTGTTTCTATTTTATGAACAATGAATGATTAGCATTTCTTCTCTGGAAATTCATCTATCTTCGTTATAACCAAACTTCATATCTCGAACCAAGCCCAAAGTGACTGCTTGAGACCATATATTACCTTTTTCACCTAAAAAATACTTTCCCTTCCTACCCATGAGCTCGAATACCTCCTCCATTTATAAAATAGATAAAAAATTAAATTAATTATTAAACTAAGTTAAATATAATCATAATATGTAAATTGAAACATCAAACACCAAAGACATACTTACGGGAGAGTTACTGAGCTAGATAACCATAGTGGAATAATAATATAAATTTCAAAAATTTAGTTTATGTATGTTTTTAATTTTGAAAGATATAACAAATTTGTATAGTTTTTGTAATTAGTAATGATTCGTATCTTTTTTCGAAGAGACAATGGTTCAAATCCTCCAATTGATGTATTATTTCTATGAATAAGAAATAAATAAATAGTTGTGAAGACAAATCTAGTCTTTTCTAATTTCACACTTGTTATAAGAAATTTGAAATACTGAAAAACTGATCTCAACTTTACTATACTATATTTGATGGTTTTGTCACCATCTTTTCAAATACCTAAATTTAACTTTCAAATTTATTTTCTCCAACTCTACAACCTCACAAATTTAGTTTCCCAAAAAATTTAATTTCTTTCACGTAACCCATACATATAATAAGCATAATAATATATTTTTTTCACTTTCATTTTTATTGTTAGCCAACATTTCTAAGCAATGAAAATTTTCATATTCCGTGACCTTTCTTTTTTGCCTAAAATTATGAGTGTAAAATAATATTTTTCAATAGATCACTAGTATTTGGAGTTTTGGACAAAAAACTTATAGAGATTGAAAATAATTTTTTATATTGGATATTTCAAAGTTCCTCGAAAAATTCATAAATAAATAAAAATAATAGGATGACCAGTTATTTAGTGAACCCAAATCCAAAACAAATGGCAACACAATCAAATAGAAAGGAAAAATATTAAAATAACAACAGAAAAAGGCAAATTCGTTACATGAGCGGCAGCCGGCAGAGGCAAGGCAAGGCAAGACGAAAATACAAGAAACTTAAAAAAGAGAATACAAAGAGAAGGAGCGACAAGCCCTAGAGTAGTCAGCAGAGAGGAAGCGCAAAGAAAGGGGGAAGAAAAAGACGAGAAAAGAAGAAGCAGTAGCAGTAGAGAGAATGGGGTGGATGGGGGATACCGTTGATTCCATCAAGTCCATCCAGATCCGCCAACTCCTTGCGCAGGGCGTTAGTCTTGGTAAGTCTGGCCAACCTCGTCTTCAATTTACCTCTATGATCGCTCCCCCCGCTGTTCGTGATTTTGACTGCCCAATTGCATGCCGGGGAATGGAAGAGAGTTTGTTTCAGTTGCCGGAATTCTGGAGTCTATTTTTAATTGAATTTTAGGTTTGTAAGCCTTGATGTGCCAAATATTGTTTCGCTGTGTTGTGGTTTCGGAAAATGCAAGGTTGGGTTTCTCGTCTGGACGAGAATTTACCAAACAATGGCTGTAAGATTGGAAATTTATGTTTTTGTTGAATTGGGTTTCTTCCCCTTCTCTTCTCTCTGTATGTTGGATGATCCTTGGCAGTTTTACTTAAATGCATACGTGACCAAGAGTACTGAAGACTGTGGTTTAGCTTTTACAACAGTGAGAGGAAGTGTTAGATCTGGTTTTAGAACTCTGTGTCATTCTGTAGAGCAGCAAACACCTGGGAAATGCTCAAACTAATGTCATCCTCACTTTCCTTGAATCTACCTGTAACATGCGAAGGTTTACTCATTGATTTTAGGTTGTAGCTTCTAATAGTGTCTGAAAAGCTAAGTACAGCATGAGCAGGTGTGTCCCTGAAAAGCTAAGTATGATCCTGGAATGAACTTATTTCCTGCAGTAGTATGGCACGGCATAGATGCTTAAGTACGCGAGACTCATTTCATCACTGCTTGACTTTTGCTCCATTCATTGTTTCTTGCTACTTCTGGGTCGATGGACATCTGTGGCATGCTGAAAGTATGCGAGACTACCGTTTTATTCTACAAGTGAGTACAGCTACATTGAAAACTAAAGACCAGTACCTGTACCTGAGTTGAGTTTCAACGATTTCAAAGCCTATGGATCTATTACCTTACTCAGTGCTCATTCTGTTTCCATGTATCATCGAATGTAAGAGGATGGTTTTGAGTTAACCGAATGATAGAGATATTTGGCTGTGTGCATGTAGATTGTGAGGTTTTTTGCTAACTTCTCATCTTATATACAGGTATGATTGTTACCTCTGCGCTAATAATATGGAAAGCGTTAATGTGCTTCACTGGCAGCGAATCTCCAGTGGTGGTTGTGCTTTCTGGAAGTATGGAACCAGGATTCAAAAGGGTGTGTAAATATTTTACTAATCTTACTGTGTATCTGTATGTTTCACTGATATGTTTCTATTTGCAGTTACCATATGATAGCCTTCTGTAGAAATTATATTTTGTTCCTTCAACTTGATATTTCCCCTTGAACGCTATGATGCCCCAAAGGAAATGATTCTTTGTTATTATATTTTAAAGAAGAAATTCCTCGGTTCTCCTTTGAGTGCCGACAATATTCACCCAACGAAACTCCAATGGGAAATGACCAGCTAGGCAACTGTTTTGGGGGGAGTCGAGATTGTTGTTTATGTCTCCAGGTGAAACTTTGTAGGTCTGTAGTGATATATACTCATATCCATATTCTTGTGTTCGGAATATGTAAGTAAAATCAGGGATGGGAAGAATGATTACTTACCATAATACTATCTGGTAACCAGTTTGGTTCTTGGTACAGCTAAGGATGAATATAGGATAAGAACTACCTGTTTTTGGGACCGCTAGTATTAAAAATGACGGGTTTTCTTCTTCCGAAATAGATCTTGTCTAGTACTTCCTTAGTCGTCAGTGTCAACTGCTTGAGAAGGTAGCTTTTGTTTAGAGAATGATTAAGGCAATATTACTAAATGGATGATGTCTATTGGAAGTAGGCAAACCTCAAAATGTTTCGGTATCTTGAGAAGGTTAATTGAACTAAAGCCTACTTCAGAAAGTGTTTTTTTCAGGATGGAATTTCCCTGATCATTGTGCATATACTTCTAGGTTATCTAATACTAGCATATCTAGTGTGGTTGGTATTCATACTTGTCATGACTTGTGTTAGTATGATTCTAGGTTATCTAATGCTAGCATATCTAGTGTGGTTGGTAGTCATACTTGTCATGAATTGTGTTAGTATGATGTTTAGTAGCACTTTGATGTCCAGTTTGTTAGTTTTTGTTATTGCACTTGCTGTAGCAGATACTTCAAATAAATCAAGTGGTTTCAGTGACCAGTTGCAATTGAGATGAGAGAATCATGTTTGGAACTCTAATGTTTGTTTCTCAATAAAATTGAAAGACTTAAACTCATCTTGCCACTAATTGCTCAGTATCACCTTTCACATGTTAGACCCCACTTACTGCTTTATGTATGACAGCATGTTACTGTGCTTATTGAAAATCCTTACACAATTTGAGTTTCTTTGCAGGGTGATATTTTGTTTCTGCACATGAGCAACGATCCTATCCGTACCGGCGAGATTGTTGTCTTCAATGTTGATGTAAGATCCTCTTAACTGCTACTGCATCTAAAGGAATGTGTACTGCTACTTAACTTACAATGGGCAGTAATGCAAGAGGTGGGATGCTGGCATGAGACTGAGAAATGTTCGTCTTGCTGAGATCTTCATTAGCTGATTAATGGAAAGGAATATAGTGAATATAACATCCAAGCATTTAGTTGGAAGAAAATTATATTTTGAGTTATTGGCTCATTGAATTCATTTACTTCAAGCATGTTTTTGTCTTAGTGAGTTACTCATTTTCTTAATCCCAGAGCCTAGTGGAATACTCAGATAGTCAGATGCCAACATGCTTTTCAAAATCAGCCCTTTTACATTTCAGCCTGAGGACAATCTCAATCATCTTTTCTCCATAATCTGCACTTGAGCGTAATCAAATGAAGTTGCTTTGAGCCTGGTAGCTTCCACTATAGCTGTTGTTTATTAATATATCCACTAACTTGTGCTTTTGAATTATTGTGTAGGGCAGGGAAATTCCGATAGTCCACCGTGTGATTAAGGTATAAATTCATTTCACGATATCAGTGGGAATTTCATTTGTACTTACTCTGTAAAGCTGTTTTCAGTTCATACTAGGAGTGCTTGTAATAATACCTGAACTTAGTTTGATCAGTGGCAATTGGTATCTACTTGTTATGCAGGTTCATGAAAGACAAGAAACTGGGGACGTTGAAGTTTTGACCAAAGGTGCTGCTAGCTTCTGTAACTTAACATTTATATTTTTTGTTTACTGGGATTACTTCAGAGTATAGCACTTCATGCATTTCAAATGGTGTAATCTGTGGGTTTCAGTAACTAACTGTACATCTGCTGCTACTTATTTGTTGGTGTTGCAGGAGACAATAATTATGGGGATGATAGGCTTTTGTACGCTCAAGGTCAGCTATGGCTGCAGCGGCATCATATCATGGGCAGGGCTGTTGGGTAAGTGCTTGCTTGAGTAGAAAACTGAGAACCCAAAATTTATGAGAACTAAATTAATCTGTGCATGCCTATTTATAACTTGATTCCTGCCTGGTGACTTGGAAATGATTACAAATGTTCAGCTCTTTGTATGGAATATTATATCTGTTTGAGTTTCGGTTACTGGAGATCTGGCTGATGGATTATAAACTTAGAAACTGAGGCAAACTTGGAATGTGATGTTTGGTTGCAGATTCTTACCGTATGTTGGCTGGGTGACAATCATCATGACTGAGAAGCCTATTATCAAGGTTTGCCTGCTCATGTGAATGGACTCTCTCTCTCTCTCTCTCTCTCTCTCGTTACTGTTGATGAAGGTTTGCCTGCTTATGTGAATGGACTCTCTCTCTCTCTCTCTCGTTACTGTTGATGAAAATCAGACTAATGTCATTTCTTTGTTGTTGTTGGACAGTATATACTTATTGGTGCATTGGGGCTGCTGGTCATAACTTCTAAAGATTGAGGGGAAGGCATGAAGATGTAGGGAGTCATTAGCCTTCTGTTTTGATTCACAGTGAATTAATGAATTTGAGGACTAGAATGAAATGGAGAGAAATTACAATGGTTTAGCTTGCTTTTGCTGTAATAGGCTAGTGACTTGCTGTTGAGGACAGTAGCCTATAGGGTCTGGCTGGATATCCTCGAATCGAAAGGTGAAGCGAGTTAATTACAACGGTTTAGCAGTAGTACGACTTCCGAACTGGTGGTTTGGTGCCTGGAAAACTGACATGTTAGCTAATTAAGAAAATTTTATAACTTTTGTTACAATGATGAGAATGATGTCAGTTGAAATGTTGGCCCAAAGAAAGGGAAATAATGCACTTTTTGGTGGGGTTAGAGATATGTTACCCATCATTGGTATGTTTGTTTATGGGTAAATGATACATTTGGTCACTGAGATTATTAAATTGTGTCATGTTTAGTCACTAGAAAAAATTAATATTAATTTTGGTCACTCGAATTATCGAAAACTGGTCAAATTTAGTCACTCTCCCGTCAGTTTCCGTCCAACTCCATTAATGTAGTTGGACGGAAACTTTTGGGAGAATGACTAAATGTGACATGTTTCAGTAATACGAGTGACTAAATGTGACATTTTTCAATAATTCGAGTGACCGGAGTTGGACAGAGGCTACATAAGAGTGACCAAATGTGACCTGTGTCAGTAATTCGAGTGACCAAAATTGATATTAAATTTTTCTAGTGACTAAATATGACACGATTTAGTAATCTCAGTGACCAAATGTGTCATTTACCCGTTTGTTTATAGAATATAGTTCACCATTTCATATATTTGAGTCCAGTATGAGGGAATTTCAATTTTGAAGCTCGTTCAAATATTTTTGTCATCATGCATGAAAATATTATAATGGTTGTCTGACTTGTCTCTTCGTCACAAATTGTGTCATGGTTTTGTGATAATACATTCCAAATGACAATGGGGTAATATAAACAAAAAAATTGTTTTCCGGTGGGTTTGATATTGTACAACTGCATGCTACTGTTTGTATACATTGTCTTTTAATGAACACACATTCGATGTCAGTTAGTTATGAATACATCAAAATGATGTAATATCGATTACACGAGGTCGGGTAATTTTGAAAATACTCTTTAAAAGCGGGTCCAACATATTCTTTTTTGCGTTTTAATGGGATTTCCAACATAAACACACTAAACCAAATGATGTTTTCGCAAAATATTTACGATATAATATCATTCCATCAGGGTAAAGACTAATTATTATTAGCCAAAGATTTTTCGCTTTCTTCTTTATTAGTCAAACATATTGAATTACTAATAATTAGCCAAATCTTTTACAATACATCAAAATATTAGCCATTTTTACATTATCGTTAATAATTTTGTAATTATTCTTTGATAAAATAATAAAATGTTGGAATGTTGACTTTCATGTGTCTCTTCCAAGTCAGTATCATGTTGCGAAGTCAATATTGCTAACTGAAAGTTAACATTTGGTTAATTATTACTAATTCAATAGATTTGGCTAATAAAAAAATGCGGGAAAGATTTGACTAATAGTTAGTGTATACCCTGAATTTAAGTATAACACTTTCGGAACAAGTGACATCAATTTACATGAAGTTACTTCCTTCTAATCACAGTGCTAGTTAGTGACAATTTTGAGTTGTAATGGGGAATGTGATTAGGTGCTAATCAATTAAGGGGTTAGCACCATACTAACCCACTTTTCCACCATTCGATACAAACTTAATTTTATGGTCAAAATTTAATAAAGGGCAATTTAGTCAAATATTAACGGTTCCTCATAAACCCTAATATATATACATCATTTTCACCGCCTCTCCTCATTCTCCGAAACCATCCGCCTCCCATCACTTTTTCACAAACTGCAACCATCATTTTGAAATTATGATTATATTAAAAGTTGTAGGTCTTGAAAAGTTATGCGGAATCAAAAAAAAGTTCATGACATCCGTATTTTGGAGCACAAAGTTATGGCCGCCCAAAGTTTGACGAAATAAAAAAAAGGTCGTTCGGGGTGGCAAATGACGTTTTTTCGAGACGAAGATGGAACCCGACTGTTTGAGACTTGCAAGATCTCAAAAAGTTATTCGGATTCAAAAAATGGAGGCCGCAAACTTTTCAAGACCTACAACTTTTCCTCGATATTTGCACATGTTTTTGTCCACCATACTTATACTGTGTGAGGCTCATTTCTCGTGTTTTAAACCGATTTCACGCTAGATTGTTCTTGTTGGTGACATTTAAGGTCCTAGTACGTGAATGAAGGCTTCAGCACGAGTTCGGGCTCGATTGGAAGAAGTTAGGACGTTTGACCTAAAGCTAAAGAAATTACGCGACCTGCTAATGAGTGTACGCGGCGTGCATTGTGGCTGTGGAACTCATATTACGCGGCTAGGGTTGTACTGGCCGTGCGAGGGAACTCCAAGGCCGTTATGTTTTTTAAGAGGCTTTACACAGGCATGGCTGAATTATACACGACCGTGTGTTGTCGACGAGCAACTAATCGGAGCGCCGCATTTTGGGAGTTACACGGGCAGACACGGAATTCTATATGGCCGTACGGCTGGCCGTGTAATTGAGCAAATATGGGTTTTAACCCAATTTTGGGTTTTGGAGGAGGATCCGAGTTTTAGAGATGAAAACAAAGTCTTAGAGAGAGAAAGTGACGAACCCAACCTCCAAAGCGACCTAGATCAAGTTTTGACACCATTGGAGCTCGATTGAAGTGTGGAGAAGCACCGATTGACAACCAGAAGTTGAATTTCATCCTCCACACGATGATTTATGCATCTGAAGCTGATTTCTCTTCTCTCTCTATGGAGTAAACTCCCTCTCTCACCTAGGTATGAAGAACTCTAGAGTTGTATGTTAGGTTGATTGTATGAATCCAAGTACATGATATTTTGAGATGGATTGTATTCAATTGAGGCATGATTTCAGAATTGCATGAGTTCTGATCACATTCCTGTAGTTTATGCTTTAACCTAGAAAGAGAATATCTGCATAGGTTGATAAAGCTCCCTTGATTGAAGGTGGTGAATTGACTACTTTAGTCGAGAAGTCAGTTCACCGCTCTGCACTAGATTTGGTCTAGTAGAGGAGGTTTTGCACGTTAAGGCCTCAGTTTGCTTATTCCGGTGGAGGTTAGTCGCTCGCCGAGTATTCAGACTGGGAGGGTCTGAAGACATTTAGTCGAGACTTCAGACAGAATAAGAACATTCGGCAGTATAACTATCATTATATCTGAACTTGGTCAGTTACAATTTGCCTTAACTACAATCTAGGGGGAACCATATATGGGTGACCTATCTCAAACTTGAATCACAACTTTACTGCTTTGTGCTTTCTTAGAGTAATTACAACTTCACTACGTTTAAATTGCTGAATAACGAGAATTTCACGGAGTAGTCATCACATCTAGGACCCGGGTTGACAAATAAAGCTAAACCCGCTATACTATGCATTAGTTTGTAGTTACACTTAGCCACTTTCTAGTGTGACGGTATTGGTGAGTCAAGTTTTTTGCACTGTTGCCGGGGCCGACTAGGTTGTTGAAGAAACGTGATTTCTGTTAGTTTAGCATTTCCTTTTTGTATTGTTTTCTTTTCCTTCTTTCCCATTTTGCCTTCATGGGTTTGCCTGCAGCTAGTGATGGTAATTTGAACCCCCCACGGGCATTACCCGACCTGACCCGCAGTAGCGTGGGGCGGGGCATGGGTATCTACTTCCGACCTGTCCTGCCCCGTCCCGCCCCGTTCATGGCCCATTCTACCTCAATTTCTTACAATATGTATACATATTTCTTCAATTTTGACCTTTCTTCAACTATCTAGAGTCGATTTTTCAACTGGTTAGACTCAATTACTCATTCTATTATCACTATTTTTCATTCATAAAGTATTTTCCCCTTCATTTTATCGTAAAAAGTAAAATTTTTGTGTGTTTTTTTTAAATAAAATATAAGAGTAGGTCGACCCATCCCGTCGTGTACCTGCGCGGGTTTTACCTGCCCCGACCCGTAGTAGCGTGGGGCGGGGCATGAGTATTGAGATATCCGCCTCGCCCCGCCCCGCCCCATTGCCATCACTACCTACAGCTTGTGTGCAGGTAGTGCATGACCCGTAGCCAGTCGGGAGGGTTACTTCCGTTGGATTAGGAACTTGAACGGACCTGTCGTCAGTCTAAGAAAGCACTGCGAGCGAGAGTGGATGTGGAGGAAGAGCAAGTCGACAGCCGGATAAGCAACGATTCTGAGGAGGACGACGACATGGGAGACGAATACAACAGGATGAACAACCTGAACGTGGGACATAATCCACCTCTGACCAAAGGGCAACCTCATCTGGGGATGCCTCTCTAGGTTCCTCCATTGAATCAGGATCCTCCTAACAATGGCAAGCCAAAGGCGGACTGGGCTAACCATCAGCTGCCTCCGTAGGAGCACACCATGGAGTACTTCTACACTCCGTAGCTCGCTGACATTCGCCTAGTCATCCAGTATCCGCCCATACCTGCTAACAACTTTGAGATCAACCCTTGCTAGATCCTGTTGATTACAACCTCCATTCAGTTTCATGGGCTCAAGGATGAATAGGCGAGGGTGCACCTTTCTCGGTTCTTGCAGCTGACCAATGATTTCAAACTAAACGGTGTTCCAGATGATGTATTTCGACTTCACCTTTTCCCTCACTCTCTACGGGGCACGCAAAGAGGTGGCTAGAAACTCAGCCGCCACTGTCCATCACTTCTTGGGATGATCTGGCTGACAAATTCATGCACTGGTACTATCCGGCCTCGAAGACTTCCGAGATTCAGCGGGAGATCACCCATTTCCGCTATGAAGATGATGAATCCTTGCGCGATGCTTGGGAACGGTATTCTGGACTGTTTTGAATGTGGTGAATTGACTACTTTAGTCGAGAAGTCAGTTCACCGCTCTGCACTGGATTTGGTCAAGTAGAGGAGGTTTTGCACGTTAGTGCCTCAGTTTGCTTATTCCAGTGGAGGTTAGTCACCCGCCGGATATTCATAATGGGAGGGTCTGAAGACCTTTAGTCGATACTTCAGACTGAATAAGAAACTTCCGCAATATAACTATCATTATATCTGAACTTGGTGAGTTACAATTTGGCTTAACTGCAATTTAGGGGGGACCATATATGGGTGACCTCTCTCGAACTTGAATCACAACTTTACTGCTTTGTGCTTGGTTAGAGTAATTACAACTTCACTACGTTTAAATTGCTGAATAACGAGAATTTCACGGAGTAGTC